AAATATATTTCAAAGAAATTTATATAAGACCACGGGCCATCAAGCCCATAAGCTGTCTAATAAAAATAATATTTTATACAATTGGCGGAAATATCGGTTCACATACATAAAATAATAAAAAAAAACATAAGTACATCGCCGTCAAACATATAACCTCCTCCTTTTTTGGATATAGTTTCGAAAAGGTATTTGATTTTCAAAATGGCAACTATTCAAGATTTGAAAAATATTACATTTACGTTCGCGGTGTACTCGGTCCCTGTCTATTTCGTTTACAGCCTTAATAAAACTTATTCCTGTGTTTAGCACGCCCTTAATTGAGCCAAACCCTCATAACCATGAAATAAATTTCTCTTTTATTACATACACGCAAATGAATAGATATATAAAAAATAATAGCAGTAGGCATTTTGCACATAATTAATTTGGATATGAAAAGGGTCGTAGTATCGAAAATCACAATACACACCCTAGGGAAAGTCGATAGACATTGTAATTTGGGCTGTAATAATGTATTATTATAAGTCATTTTGGGAAAGGCAAGAGCAGGAAAGCTTTAATGAAGATATATTAGATGTGGTGTAGATTACATGAAACAGTAGAGAACATAGCGAAGTTATTAAGACGCCATTAAAACGCGGCAAAAATATAAGCTCATAAAAATCTGTCGATAACTAAAGATATTTTTTTAGTTTTACTTAAATTATATAAGAACACATACAAGAATTGCTTTTAATAAAACCTTCTTAATAATTACAAATAATATTTTATGTATTTACTTATTTTGTCTGGTACTATAAAGCTGAATGCCTCGAGAACTCTTGCTTCCACTTCACAGTGAAAATTGTCATTGCGAACTGCAAACAAACGGTGTAGTATACCACAGTAACTTGATTAGCACTCGAGTTATCTCATCACGGTGAATTAGACAAGAACTTGTTACTATGGTAACCGATATGATTGTTAAAACAAACAGAACAGAGTACTTAGATTATGAGATAGTATTTCAAGTCCTTTTAGTTTTTACATATATTTTTGAGATTCGTGCCTTAAAAGGAAATATATATATATATATATAACCATATGTCGATATAATGAATTTTTTGAGAAAAGAGATTTTGTTTATTCGCATTGAATAGGCGCCGGTAGTGCTGGACCAATTTGAAAAAAAAGTCACCTACGAGAAGCTACATCATACGCGGGGGACATACGCTGTAATCCACGTAGGCGAAGTCGCGGGAAAATAGCTAGTTTGATAGAAATTGGTTCCTAATTCACGAAGAAATCGATGAACATACACATATAAAAAATATACATACTCGTTGGACATAGAAAATCCTTCTTTCGGACTTTGAATTAATGCGAAATATTAGATCTTTCACTCAATCAATGGTGGTGTTACTATTTATTTAATGATTTACACATACTACATATTTAATTAGAACCAAGCACATTCTTAAGCAATGATAGGCTAGAAAACCCAATACTGGCTGCTGCCCATTTTTGACCATGTGTCACTTCAAGGCTATTATTACTTTACTATAAACGGTTTCTAAATGTACCATATGGCAAAAGTAATACTGTTAACAACTGTGATGTGTCAAAATTCATTAACTCTTAAAATGGCCAAACTAGGTCATTATCTTAAAATAACCAAACTAGGTCATTTCTTAAAATGGCCAAACTAGGCCATTATCTTAAAATGGCCAAAACGGGCCATATAACCTATATAAAGTGGAGTGACTCAATCTGGAGTTTGATTTTCTTAAGAAGTTGTGAGTAATTTACATGAGATAGCATTTCGGATAAAAAAGAGATGTCTATTTCAATTGTACGATTTTCCTAGGATGTGATAGATGGTTCTGGTACGGAAACTTATTACTTACTCAGTACGTAAATACAGGTACATACAACATCTTCGATTGGGAATATACATAAAGGAAATTTTGATTCTATTTTTAACTTTAGGAAGAGTTTATGACTCTATTAAGATCATCAAATCTCTTAGTATAGGCCCTGAAGTTCTAGAAAGCTAAAAGATGGTAGCCAGTATTATATACTCTGACACCATGAAAATTGTAAAATTTGAAACTTTTACCAGATTGGGGTAAATATCAATCCAATTACTTGTACAAGAATAAATACGCTCTTGATTTTTTCTCAATATTGTATACGAACAAATGACCTTTCAAAATACTACCGAAAAACAATTACTTTACGAACTACGCATATTTTTCAAAGGCATAGCGCGTAGGCCTTTTTTATTCATTGTATTCCCATCGAGATCGTAGGCCCACGCAATCACAAAAAAATGTTGAGAAATAATTGCTATGAATCGTGTTTTCCCTCACTTTTCGTCTCTTTGAATATGATGTAATTAGAATTTTATTTATATTTAATTACTCTTTAAGCCCAGCAGTGGGTGTCTCTCGGCTGAATTGATGACGATGATGATGACTCTTTATTAATTATTAAAGGTTAAAACAGTATTTTTGTAAAAAAAAAAACACCCCCTTAAAGATTTACAAAAACTGAAATTATTCGCGGACAGTCGTGATACATGCGTTGCGATGCCTCTGACTGCCTGTCGAAACTAAGTCGAATGTAAACGAGTTACCACATATTTATAATTTCTATCCTAAGTTCAGAATGTATACCCGAGGGACATGTTAATACAAATTTTGTAAATAGTTCCCTATGTTCATGTTACTAAACTTTAGTTTGGCTTAATAAGTATTTCAATGTTCTCGCCAACTATTTGACTTGTATAGTATTTAAATGAGCTCACTTATCTATATCCTGTTTTTAGGTTTTGCGTTTTATTCAATTAAAATACGAAAATATTTTGCAGTGTAATACATTACTTACATCAAGTTTTTGGAAGTTTCATAGTTTTCAAACACCGCGTATTAGTTCTGAATCTGCGTTATCTATCATAAGTTTCTAGGCCATAAGATTTCGGTTATTGCACATACATATTGTATAAATAGGTATTTCAAAATGATATTTCAAATTCCATATTACGAGAAGATACTTTTCCCAACAGTATTTACGAGTATTATAACTAATAGATTAAAATAAATACTCATTTAAAAAAAATAAACTTATTTATATTACTAATAATAAGTACGTAAAAGTTTTTAGAACTAATTACTAGTAAACACTTTTCTGAACTAGACGGAAAAGTAATTATTATCATTTTAGGATGAGTATCTCCTGAAACATGTTCTACTAATATTATGTTCGGTTAAAATATGTATTCTATTAGAGTAATTGTATTGTATAAACAAATAAGCCAAATACAAGAAACAAAGCCGGTTTAGGACTTAAAAATAATGAATTACGATTTAGCGTGTTTGACCCAAGAAAATAAAGTGTACAATACCAATAAAAGTTATATTTTGAGACATCTGATTACGTTTGATATAAAATAATAGCCAACAAAGACCCCATAAACGTGGCTAATTATATTTTATCAGCATTTTACCACGCAGCGTAACCTCTAGTGGCTAAAAACTATATACTTATATGACATACATAACTTAAAGTTACATAAAACTACTAGATTGCAGTATATGCGTATATTAGATCAGGTACAAAGGAATCCAATTTATAAAGATTATGGTAAGGTGCAAATTTGATTAGAAGAAAAAAGAAAAAAGGTTTTAAATTAAAGATTCACTTACCTAATACTAGTCCTTTTGGTTATAAAAACTTCTTACTCTATACACACACGGACATTTTCAAAAAAGGAATCGATTTTTAAAAAACGGTTATTATTGATGTTTTTTAAATTTAGAATATTTACAACGTTATTTACAATACCGTGGGATTTTCTTTGCGATACTAACTAACGATGGCTTAGCGAAACGTCAGTTTGTCCGCATATGTTTGACGCATGCGCGTGATAAAATGGCGGATGGCGCCGACGGTCGATAGTTGGCCCATGATAAGGTATCGCAAGGCTACCCCCATGCTTGGTGACATTGTGGAAACGGGGTGATGTAAAAACGAGGTCACAGTTTATGTATTCCCGCGTTTCCGGTTTGGTAATACCACTAACGCAAATTGTGTTGCTACAATAAAAAAATTGCAATTTTAGTAGATTTTGTTTTTTGCTTTTCTTATATATTTTAGAATATATTAAATAAATTTTTATCATTTGATTTAAGATTTTCCTATGATAATTCAGCATTGGGAGAACACAATGAAAAAAACAAAAATAGAATTATATTCAAGTTTGTTTATTAATCGTCGTCATTTGCAGCGCTGTGTAAGTATCGTACTTCTGGATCATTTCGCGTACGCCCTCGAAAGTAATCCAACGCTGCCCTTCCCCGCGCCCCGCGAGATCCCACTACCACCCACGTCACTCCCGCGCAGCAGATGAGTGCCATTATTGTTATTAGCACTGTCTTCCATGTTGAACCTGAAAATGAAACTCCTTTGTTGGACCATTTACACGAGGCCCACCGGATCAGCCCAATAAGCTAGACTAGTAAAACTGTTCTATTTCATTGGATTGGTTATGTTTACACGTAGCCAATACTGGATTGTCTACTACTTCTTGTCTACTGGCCTCGTGTAAATGGTCCATAAGCGTAAACGTATATTGAAAGCACTTTATATAGGTTCAATAAAGTGTTCCCATTCTCAAATTACAAACCTATACTTCTAACTTCTATCAAGATGCTCGAGCACTCAATAGGTAAAAAAATGAATCTTTTATAGGTCGGTTGCCTGTCTGTTCATCCGTCTATCAGATCTGATTTTCGACGTACCTAATTATCAGTAAGAGTTGAAATTACGTACGAGGTGAACTAAACACATAAATGAATAAATTTTAAAAATGGAAGCACTTTTTAGTCCGCGTCGTCTGAGTTTAGAAGCACGAGATAATCTTAGAATGGACACGTGATGAAGAGTAATGATTTGCATATAACAAAAAAGATAAGAGCATGAAAGGGTAAGAAAGAGCGAATGTTGATATGACTGCTCATCGAGACGCATGGACGAATAATATGCGCTGACCTAAAATAAATAATTGAAAAAAGATCAAGCAAATAATATGTTAATTACTTATTTGAGTCTATTAAATACTTACCATGCTTCTCTGTTAATTTTTCATTTACATCTATACTTTTATTTTTGTTGATTTTTCCAGTGCTTTGTAAAGCTTTAGTGCTTTTAGGAACCACTGTTGTAAATTTTTGTACTACAACTCTAGTGGTCGGTTTTAATGCAACCGTTGTCTTTTTATTTCTAGTTGTTGTCTCAGTAATCTTTTTAGTCGCGACGACAGATGTTGTTCCAGTTGTTTCTTTGAATGAAGCAGCTGTACGCTCATATTTAGAAGTGTCGTTGATTTCATCTTTCTGGAATACTGTTACAGTAACTTTGATTGCATTTGTGGTAGTTTTGACTGCTCTCGTAGATGTTACCGATGGTTCAAATGTTTGTTTTGTCGTAGTACTAGTCGTACTAGTTCCCGGTTTTATAATAGTTGTGATTTTTGTTGTTATTGGTGTTTCTGAAGTTGTTGTCGTTGTTAAAGGACTTGTATATTTAGCTACTAATTTCTGTGTCTGTGGTAGTTCTATTGTGGTATTGCTTTGGTCAGAATCATCGCCTGTGGGGTCTAAAAAATAATAGAGTAAGATTAAAATTAAATGAAACATTACGTGATTAAGAAATCACATTTAACATTGCAATTTATCGTTATATTACCGGTATAATTGTTAATGCATGTTTCGTAGAAATCTGGGCAGCAGTTTTCTTCCGTAATGCATGCAACGTAGCAAGCGCATCCCAGTTGAGGTTTCAATGAACCCCTAAGAGATTCTATACATCTGCCATCACAGGAATCCGCTGTAAATAGACACATTATTTTATCTGGTGCTACTGCTAGAAGTTTAGAGAGTAAATATTCTATTTATTCACATACGTAAAAAAGCAGTTGGGGTTGTGATATCTCTTTCCGCTAATGTACAGTTCTCTCCTTGTAAGATAGCTACGTCATCGATAGCTATGTCGCTGGTGAATTTCTTGCCACGTATTCCTTCAATTACGATCTATAAAAAATATGATTTGATGTACTGGATATGAGATTTGCGTTCTTGCTCTTCAAGTTGAGATAAAATGTTTCGTTGATAATACAGTATATGAAACTTTTGACCTCAATAATCAGATGGTATTCGGACATTTTGGAATCTTCTAGATTGCGTCGAAGTTATAAGATAATTTTCATAACATGATATAGATACAAGTTCCAATGTTTATTATGTTTATCTTGATGATCTTGTAAAGTACTCTATTATAGGCATTCTATTTGTTTTTCGTGGCAAACGTTCATTAAAGATTAATGAATTTCAAATTTTGATGGGTAACATCTCTTAAAACTAATGAGAATTTAAATTGAATTTTGTGCAACTGGCTGATTAGAGGGAAGATAAAATAAAGAAACGTGCAGTTAATATTTGCGGGTTCTGACCTGAAAATTTTCCGAGAAGTTCCTCAGCTGAGACACGTCTCCATACCACGTGTCGCCCAGGTTGCCCCATTGCTCAAAAAGTATATACCTCTGACGATTATTATCTGGAAGTCGTAACATCTCTTCCAGACCTATGGTGTCTGGTTTCTGATATACCCTTAAACCACCAGTATGCCTACAAGAAAAAAAAAACATTTATCATTACTAATTTATAATATAACAGTTTTTTTTATTAACGTGATATATGCTGTTTACTATAATTGTTTATTTATCCTATCTCAGAATGCAAGGAACAAAGTGGATTTTTAAGTATTTATCATTAAGAATATTTTTCAGTATGCCATTGTGAATGGAAAATTGATCAAATATAATCATAAGAACAAATTTTCATCTTTATCCAAACTTTAAATATTTGTAAAAATATTTCTTTCGGCTGTTTGGATGGATTGCCTAAACACTGATGAAAATTCGCTCTGTAGCAGCGAAAAAGTAACAAGTGCTTGAAAAATTGCTCAGTCCTGTTAAGGTGGTTAAAGTGGATAAAGCAGTCGCCCAGATTGTCAAAGACATGGGTTCGAGTCCCATCTCAGGGTGCCAGGATAAGGACAAAGTGGATCTTTTAATTATTCTTCATTAAGAACATTTTTCAGTATAGCATATACAGTGTATATATATTACAATTGGACTAATAAACGTTAACTTTAGTAAAAAACATACTTTCCAAACATATGGTAAAAGAACTTGAAGCAGCCATCGATAGCCAGTCGGGATTCATATATCGGCGATATCAAGCGTGCCGTATCGTTCTCTAGGCGAGAGGAACTCTCTATATACATGTAGTACCCTGTAACAAGTATTTATCGGGACTGAAATCATCTTTTGAATAATTGTCTCTGAGTAAAAAAAAACTTTTTTCAAATAAATACTATTTTAGTCATGCGATGGTTTTCTAAAGGTTATAATTATATATTTATAATTGAGTGACAGGCTCGACTTCAATAGCATTGTCTTGAATAAGTCGCTTTTGAGATAGGTAAGCTACGAAGTCGTGGGGAAACAGCTAGTTTGATATACTTTGGTTCACAATAATTCAAGAAGAAATCGAAGAACATATCTACTTTCATAGAAAGTATACATATTCGTTAAATATAGAAAATCCTCCTTTCGGATTTCGGAATTCCTTCTCCTTTTTTGTTGAATTTAACGTATTATCTGCATATATATCTGATGAAAAGCGAATTTTGTCTTTACTAATATTATAAAGAGAAAAGATATAATTGTTTGTTTGCAACGAATAGACTCCAAAATTATTGGACCATTATTGTTTCACCTACGCAAAATATTTAAAATTCTTCCAGTAGATTCGAAGTCTATTCGTTCCAAACAAACAAACAATCAATCTTTCCTGTTTATAATAGGATAGATATAGATCTATACTTATAAATAAAATATTCAACATAGTAAAAGTCTTATAAAAAAAGACAATGTTAAATTTGAAGGTATTGTTAATCTAGAATCAAAAAAGCCTTATTAGTATACAAATATGCAGCTCAGTTTGGGAGATGATACGTAGTTTATTTGTTTATTAGATTTTATTCAATGATTAAAATATATTATTATGATAAAAAACATGTTTATTATTTCTATCAGTTATGTTCTTAATTTGCGTTCTAAGCAATGTTTCTATATAAAAAAAAAACTGACTGTTTTTTCGCGTGTTTCTTTACTGGTATAAAACAATATTATTAAGTTTTACCTGATCCGTCTTTTCCATAAGTGTGGTCGTAAGAAGGTCCTGTGAATAGAAATGAGCTCGGTGTTTTTTTATTGAGTCTCTCCCAGTCGAAGTCATGCAGTGCGTCCTGTGTCCAGCCGCAAAGGTCAGGACTCTCAAAGTCACAACTCAGATTGCTCGACAAAGTAGAATCTGTAAGCGAAAAACAGAGGATTCTTAAAATGCCTGTCCGTCATTGGGCATTAATTTTTATGGTGGATGTTTTATCTGAAAGCTAGTTAGAACTACACTCCACAAGTTTGTTACGATATACTTCTCGTCTTGACATTCATAATACTTTTCATACTTGTTACCATTAAGATTATTGCTTTAGATATTACTATAAAACACGATTAATCCGATTCAGAAAGGATAAGGTGAGCCTTGAGTATTATAACCAATAGTATTATCACTTAGGTATATACTTAAAAAATATATTATTTTGTTTCTACGCTGATGGAAAGCGAAAGAAAATCATAGTGTTCAAATCTGTCTCATTAATGAGCAACTCTTTAAGTGTTGCAAAACTCTATTTGGTAGACATAAACACACGCAATGCCTAAATTATTTTATCTACATGTCAAAAAAGACAAAGAAAAACATATATTTCAATACCGGGCAAGTGCGAGTCGGACTCGAGCAGGAAGGGTTCCGTACTATCAATGGATAGTACGGAACCAAAAAAAAAAACATGTTTGTTGTTTTCTATAGAGTTGTTTGAAATTTTCGAGTTAAATACAATATATATATCGGAAATATATATCGAACATATATATGAGACAACATCACACTGCTGCTCACACGATCGTTAATACCCTGCAATCCGCATTGGGCCAATCTTTGTCGGCGTAATTAATGTGTATACTCATGCTAAATTACAACTTTCTAGTACCAATGGTTTTCACATCGGTACTAGACAGACGGAAATGGCGATACTATGAGGGTTCCTTGTTTACTACGGAACCCTGAAAACAAATGTAAGATATTACAGTAGTTATCTGTTTTCAACCAGACTCCTTCACCTTTCACGTTTTTTTATTACTATCACTTTGGTTTCTGTTTAATCTTCTTATTTTATTGCTGCAATAATAATGTTAACAATTCAATTACCAACGCAAGTAGGTGCTGTTGAATTCCACTGGCGTCCATCGCAGTATATGGCTGGGGAACCCACAAGTTTGTAGCCAGGCATGCAGAAGAATACGACCCAAGCTTCCTCGAATGATGGCATCGTAAGACCATGCTTCAGTGTTGGTACAATGCATCCAGGTCCTTTGTGACAAACAATGGAATGTTATTTATGTGGACAATGTTAAGAAAGGTGTACTTACATTATGTATTTATAGTATTCAATAATTGACACCCGTTGCAAGATGTCGGCAGCCCTTAGGTTCCATTTTAATGTAGAAAAAGAATTTTTCTATATTGTCTCGGTTCTGGGTGTTATGGTGTGATGCCTTTGTTTATTTCTGCTTGCCATAATAAGAAGGCTGTTGCTACTTAGTGTGAAATTAGGGCAACGAAGTTTATATTTGTTAATTATAGTATTAAACAATTTTTTTAATCTCTTGAAGATGGATTTCCAAAAATCCCCACTTGCCAAAATAGTTCACGTACAAATTTTCAAATTAAGAAACCCAGTTTGGACAAAGACATACTTTATTTAAATACAAATGATATTTATGACACGTAACAACTTGTTTGTTGTAATACATACTGACACAAATGGGGATTGGTGTGTCCCATTCTCCATTCTTGCAGGTGGAATATCTGTTTCCAACGAGGGTGTATCCTGTTTGACATATGTACTTAATCATCTTGCTCCTGATGCGACTCCGCGCTCTCCCGTGAGATAAACGGGGTACCGTACATTGCCGGGAAAGGTATTCTGAAAGGCAAATTTGCAAACTTTATTCATGGTATGTTCACAAAATTACACATTAAGAACTGAACTTTCAATAATTTTTAAAACTTTTAATGTGGAGAATAAAATTCAATATGTTATCAATAATCCTTAATATAAACTAGAAAAAACTATGATTTCGGGGATTCCTCGTGACATTTCTACGGTTCTCACTTCAGGAATCACTGTTTTTGAGAACCAGAAATCTCGCGCCAGTGGCGCCAACTGGTAATCGCAAGAGCGATAGCTTTCATTTATTGTGTGTATGTTTAGAACGTGAAAAATATCATCCCACGCTTTAGCATGTTTGCTTGACAGCGGAAGTCTGCACGAGGGCGAACTAAGAGCGTGTGCGTCCTGCTGATAATGTAAAACTTCCACATGTATTAATTACTAACTATGATGACGAATAGTTTTCAAGTGATTAGACAAAATTAGATTCAAGTTAAAGATTATCGTCTTTCAATCTTGACTGTCAATTTTTTCGTTTCAGTTGATTGATAGATAAGTTCCACCACTTATGACCTTACATGACGAAAAATATAACCAGTGTCGCTGGCCCACTAACTACATATCCCTCAGCGACATAAAGTAAGAGTGTTTCTAAGGGATAAAATCGTCCAGATAAGATCATCCATCAGAAAAGCAGTTTTGGTTATTGTTAGAAGTATTTGTCAGAAGCACGAAGGAGCTGAAGATAAAGAATTTTTGATCACCCACTCTATTACCGGCCCTTGCAAACGTTAAAGAACTGTCACATTGCAGAGCGTACGCCCTTAACGCTGCGCTATCGAGTAATGTTATATCTACTATGTAATAATCTTCAAATTTTAATTTTTCCTTTCGTTAATGTAGAAAACAAACGAAAAGCAGCCGATAACCTTCATTCAAATATATTTTTTATAAATCTACTTATCTATATCTTTACACCGTATCCATTGCGGGGTAGGCAGGACCCAATGCCACAAGGTACGGTCTTTGCAAGGTACATCTTTCGCCTCATCCACTTTCATTACTCTTTTCATACATACTTGCCGGATTTTATGGCTTCTGACATTACCTTCCAACTACACGCTATCGATCTGACCATCAAATGTGTGCATTCCTTGGATAGTGTATTCTTCTTCCATCCTTGGATTCTGTATTCTTCTACTTTCCCGTTGTAAACAAGTTTTGTCAATCTTTTATCCGACATTCTTTCCACAAGTTCGAACCAACGGAGCATGCTTTTGTTGATTTTTATACCGACGCTATCTTTCAGATCAACTTTCTTTCTTATCTTTTAATTACGAATGCATTTCGAACACATTTCTTCTGCATTTATCATTTACTTTACTTAGACACATTCTCTGAATTATCCAACTATCGTTAACTTAGTTATGCGTTTTAAAAATAAAATTGGATTTCAAAATTTTAAAATTAATTGACCAAACTTCTGTTAGAGTCGGATAAATATAAAGTTATTAATATTAATCGCCCGACTTCAATATAACTTTCGTCGAATAATTGTATTTTTGAAATCCGTTTTATGGATTTCACTAAGTTGTAAGATTAAAAACAACAAAAAGAAATGTGATCCGATGTTTAATTTGAGATAAATACGTGGACAAATCTACAGACATACATAGAAACAGTTACAAAAACTTGTTTATTAGACTAACGAACTAGTTTAATTATACTTACCATAGATAAAGTTAAAAAGCTAAATTTTTTTAGTCTGTTAAAAACGAAATTATACTTACGGGCTTGAATAACACTAATTACTGTCAATAACAAAATCCACTTGAATAACATTTTTCACTATAACTTAGATAAAACTCACTTAATTTATATTTATTAATATAACGAAAAAATATTTTAAAATTAAGTCAACAACATGAGTATGGCTTGATAACTGCGACGGGACCATTTGGCAATATGACTTTTAAGTTGTACTATAGCAAAGATTATGTATGGAAACAGAAGCAGCAGACTATATTTTTAACCGACTTTAAAACAGGAGGGGTTATCAAATAATGTCAGTGTTTATGCGGACCGATTTTGAATAAGTTTTTATTTAAATATGTCCTATATTACCAAATTTCTTTGTTCCCCTTTCTTTGTTTCTAAACGTACTCGAATAAAAATGTTATTAAAATACCAAAATTCAACTTTGAAAATTTTTGAAACTAATTGTCTTGTTGTATTTGTTAGTCACCTTTCTAGTTGTAGATTATTTCTTTATACCTTAATTCATCATAAAATTACTGTCAAGAAAATAACGAAATAATATTAATATATTATACTGACGGTAAGTTGTAGAAACATCTATTAAGGTTTAATGACGCCTTTAAGCTCTAAAGAATGTCAAATTGGTTTAGGTAATGTTGCTTTAAACTAATGTCAATTAATAATATTATATATTATTTATATCCAGTGATACTGCAGAGTCAAGTCTACGAATCAGAAATATGCCCCCTCTGCAACTAAAGCATTCTTTGGCGTACGGGATGCGACCGCACAGCTATCAGAGGATGCTTCCGATATTCCATTGAATGCTATCAGGAGCATTTTGTATTTTTAACAAACAGATTACTGGAAGCATAATCACCACTTTATCTCCGCATTTACTTCGTCTTTTTTATATTGTGATTCAGACGGTTTAACTAATTAACTTATTAGTAATCAGGAAACAAAAACAGTCTGCAACAAAATTTTACACGAGTAATTTGGCTTGACTCAACCACCAAGCTATTGACTTTTGAAGCCTTTTTGAATAGATTATTAAATAAATAAAATACAACATCATGTACATTGCTTAGATTTCAAGATGAGTAAAAACTATGGATTACTCGTATTACAAAGTATCTGAAACAACCATAGGAAACAACGAAGAAAGGACCAACAATACATAGGTGCTCCACACAGCCGTAATGTTCGCTTTTCCTTCTCCTTCTCTCTTTTCCTTCTCCCTGCGTAGGTTTTATCTCTAATTCATTTTCGATTCAAGCTACACGATACAGAAGAGTTAATTTTCTACTTGAACCCACTGGGAAAGAGACCAGCTCCTCAGAGATAGCGTGTGAGCCACTCAGCTACGGAGATTCTCGCTTGGCCTGTAGGTATTTTTATAACGACGGAAAAATAACAAATCTTCATTTGAAATCGGCCAGGTAAAAGAAATTGAATAAGCTTAATAACTTGCATAATTCGTTATTTTTAAGGGATATTTTTATTACTAATGTCCAGTTACACAAACGTTAATTCAGGTTTTGACGATTTAAAACTCTAATGAATGATATAAAAAACTTAAATCGGTAATGTGACTATAAGCTAATGTCAGTTACAAGGGATCAGTGCCGTCTTAAGTCTATGCGGCGGCGACGGGGTGCGGGACTTACAGGTAAAAAACCTTAAAGCCTGAGTCCTGGTTTTCTTTTACACGCTGCACGCGACCGACACACTGCAATATGAAAGTGGTCCTATTCAACCATGAAAACACAATACCCGTAATTTTGATAATTTATTTATCTAAAATATAAAAGTAAAATTAAACTTAAATTATACAAATTAAACCCAATCATACAAATAAAAAATTTTCATTCGAGACATTATGTCCATTTTCAGGAATATACCTACTTTTACCTAGAAAATGTACCTACTTTTTTAAAAAGTGAAGATTTTTCGATGAACCTTCTAAAAATTATACTTTTATTTTAACATGAAAAAGAACATGATCCAAGAACAAAGAAAAAAAGGAACCTAAGTTGAGAAATCAATAGAATTATTTACAATTAACAGTGATTGTAATGGCGAACAACACCAGCATTTCAACTTTCGTTTTTATATTATTATGTATTATAATTGCTAAATATCTTTTTATTGTATATAGATATAGATACATCAAACTTACTCAATTTTTCATGCTTTTAAGTTGGCAAAGATTTTAATTGAATAATTTATTTTTATATCAATTTAATAATTTAAGAGGAGATTAAATTATTAGAATATATATGTATAGCTTAAAATATCCGTGGGAGTACTTATTGATGCATTAGGTAAAAATATTGGCAATATTTCTAATTCATTATATAAATCCTCCCCGTCAATATCAAATCTAATTTGAAATGTTAGTTTTCCTTGGAGCCGAGAACATTGAGATTTTTTTTCATGCATCTCTAATTTACTTCCAGCATTTCATGTTTTGGAATAGCGAAAAAAACTGAATTGTGTTCCGTTAGCGAATCGAATCTCTCATTTAATTTCGAGATAGCAGTGTCCAGTAGAAAAATCTAAAAACATACATTAAATTTGTTGGTTGGGTCTAAAATGGGCTCATCTGCTACCTCGTAACCAAAATATTATTTTCAGGGACGTTTCTTTAAATTCTGTTTCGCATTCTAATTCTTCAGCAATTATTTTTGCATCAGATAACAATTGTTTAAGCGCGCTATCAGTGCGGTATTGCTCCAAATCATTTTTAACCAGATGAATCATTTTGGTATCCCCTGAAATAATTACGTCTGATTTTTGCAAATTTTTGCTTACAATATTAATCATTTGTAAAACATTGTACCATATAACTACTGAATATAGGAATTTTAATTTGACTATTAATGAACTCGCTATAATGTTTTATTTCTTTTCGCTATCATACTTGTTATTTGTAAAAATAGAGTATACTGCATCGTAAATTTTATCCATATTAAAACATAATGTTTTAAGAGCATCAAATCTACTTTCCCAACGCGTATTTGAAAGAAGTTTTAATGTCAAAGTAGGCATTCGTTTCATAATTTCATCCCAGCGTGATATAGATGCTGAAAAAAATCCATAGATTTCTTGGACAATACCGAAAAAGTTTGTAACTTCCAATGAGTTTTTAGCGGCGTTATTTACTACTAAATCGAGGGAGTGAGCAGCACACGGTACGTAAAAAACACGAGGATTCATGTCCAATATTTTTTTTGGAGGCCTATATTTTTCCCCTCATATTGGCCCCATTATGATATCCTTAACCTCGCAAATCATCTAATTAAATATTGCATGATTTTAAGAAATCTAAGAAATAAGTCGCCAACCCTTGTCCGGTAATATTAGTTACAGGTAAAAAACCTAAAAATGTTCTCGTACCTCAGTGCGTTTTGTCGATGGATTAAAATAAATAAACCTCACGATAACAATAAGTTGTTCTTGGTGTGAAATATCAGGTATGCAATCTAGAATTACAGAGTAGTATTTACATTGTTTCAAAGACTAATAACAGTAGTTTTAATTTTTTCAGCAATTATACTAATCAGTTCATTTTGAATGTTATGACCAAGATAATATAGCATGCGATGCTGAGCTCTTTGAATTCGAGCAATGTGTTCTGATAATGTACTATCAAAATTGGATATACTCTCCATTCTTTAAAAAAATACCATTAATTGGGTCATACAACTTTTCACTTGTGCCCCTGAATGCTATATTTTAATCTGCCAAAAATTTTTAAATTTTGATTATTCTTTCCAAAACTGCCGTCCACCTCTTTTTCTCGCGGTCTATTTCAGTTTGATTTACCGAGTCCAGTGTTTGCCCTTACAATAACAAATTTTTTAGATCTAAATAATTTTTAAAAGAACATAATGTGCTTTGAACTTTTCTCATGTCGTTCTATATTTCTCGACTAATGCCCCCAGTCTTCGTAACCAGTGGGGCCATTAAATGCAGTGACATTAATAATTAATAGCTTACATTAATTTTAAGCTATTTAATATTAGCTCTCTTTTCCAAGTTGACTGTCTCTTTTGACTGTCGGGCTGATGTTGACGAAGATGTACCTAAAAAACATAAGATAGTTAAAAAAATAGTGTAACCAAATGTGGTAACAGGGTCACGCAATAATATTTGCACCGGCCGGGATTCAAACTCGAGAACTTCGGCACGAGAGTCAGTGTTACTAACCAATGCGCCTTCCAGTGCGCAAACCGTAAAATAACAATTAATATCGGAAAAATCATAATCGGTAACACACATATATCGTTTTAACGTGGAACACTACGTTTTATTAAAATAAACTTATAGGTAACATAAGTACAGATAATAAACAGTGTGTAGAATGATTAGTTTGTCTTACAATTAATAACGTAAACAAAAAAATAGACCAATACTTTAGGGATGTACTAAAAAATAAACGATTATTACTAGTTACTATAATATTTAATGAAATACACATTTTAATAATCAATGAAGAAGTATTTAAAAAAATATTAGTTCCCGAAATTAAACTAGATGTCGCTACGGTACGTTCTTGATTTCTCCATGACAATCATTCCGGTTTTCTTTCATGTTTAAAAGTAAATTAGTTTTCAAATCTCAATAAACAAACTTCAGTTTTTTAATATGTTAGTTAAAAGGAACGGAAATTACTATCTTTGGTCCATTCGTTTCCTGCAAAATATGTGAAATATGTCAATGAGGAAGTATTAAAAAAAAACGAATGCACTAAAAAAGCGCCTACACCATATGGCGACTTTAGCAAAAGTTGAGTTTTGCAGGAAACGAATGGACCAAAGACGGTCATTTCTGTTCCTTTTAACTAACATATTAAAAAACTGAAATTTGAAAAGTTCTAAACTTAGATATCAATACAAATACGAAAAAGTACAAATAGTTGATTATATTCTAAGTTTAGAACTTAATTAATTGAATGATTGAATGTTGTAGTTATCGATAATTGGTTTCATCACTAAAACGTTTGATTTGACTTTGACATAACAACGATACGACGTTTGCTTGCATGACGTTCGGTTTGTATACAAACATGAAGGGCAACGCCACTAATTAAGAAGAAAAAGAATCGAAGACAAATTCTTTGGAAATATAAACTATTTGCTTAATTTAATATTTAACTGCCTACAATTTTTCTTTGCTACATATTTATAATATTACCAAACAGTTCATTGGTTTAGTTGTTTTTTTTTTTAATAGTAAAATGGGAAACATTTGATACCATACCAATTCAAAATAATTGCTATATGAGTTCTTTCGACAGCTGAAATGATGAATGAATCGATCAATATGAGTAACATTTGTCGATTTTGTTTCTTTGAATGTAACCACGAAATGCAAGAATTAACAGAGGGAAATAAAATTTGTCTTAGGATACAGTCATGCATTGGTTTAAAGGTGAGCTTCAAATAAAAAAAATGTTTTATCAATCATTGTTAAATCACATCATATGTAAGTCTTTTTCAAAAACTCATCAGTTTATTTTTAATAATTTTAATTGAGTATTTCTAAAGACTTAGGAAATATGACAGTACACAATGCATTAGATACTGCCTATTATGTTAAAAAAAATACATGAATACTCATAATACTTATTTCAGATTGAACCACTGAAAGAGCCACTACCAACAAAAATATGCAAAACTTGTTCAGAAAAAGTTGATGAATTGTATGATTTTCACAGAAGAATAACTGAAAGTGAAAACATACTATTACATTATTTGTATGAAAGCAAAATAGATCTTGATGAATTATATTTTAAACTAAAAAATAGTAAATTAAAAGATGAAACTAATGTTCAATATGATGTGAATGAAAATACTAAATGTTTGATGGATGAAGTAAAATTAGAGGATAAAAGTGAAATAAATGATGACTCTATTTCAAATGATGAACCTCTAAATTTTGAAATAAGTCCTTTAAATGATATAACATTAGATGAAAAAAAATATACAGCAGAGATAAATGAGAATCCGGAGTTAATCACACAATTTAAATGCCTCACTTGCTTTAAAACATTTGAATATCAAAATTTACTCCTATCGCATTATAATATGGAACATAACAAGAAGAATAAAGGTAGAAACATAAAAGATAACTTTAAAATAATATCATCTTCTAATGGTACTTTGATGTTTGGTTGTACTGAATGTAATAAGGAGTATGAAAATAAAAAATCTGTTATTCGTCATTTGAGGGCACATGTAAATGAGAGACCATTTATTTGTAAATTATGTGGTAAGTTTATTAATTATCTACAAATATATAGGCATAGCTTTACTTGAGGTTGGTGCATAGCTGACAGAAGATGTGTTGTATCTCATCGATTGTGGAACATAGAACTGATAAATCTGTGATGTGTCACTCAACCATGTGCATTTAACAGATGGTCTATCATATACTTATGCATACTTCCAAGAGAGGATGTTGGATCTTCTGTGAGATTTTTACTATCCCTCATATTATTAAATTTTGATTATACAAACTCTTTAAATTTCTAGGTAGAACATATAAAACTGCTTCAGAAATTGTTCGTCATAGCAGAGCTCATAATGGTACAAGGCTCTTCTGTAGTCAGCAATGTGGTTATAGTACTGTTTACCTTGGAGCATTGAAGGAACACGAGAAAAGACACAACAAGACTGAATTTAAGGTAATATGAAATACACAGGGTTATTAGTAAAACACCAGCAGCTGTGCAGGAGTAGATAGCTATTGTAATATCCAATAGATATGGCTCATTGATGTACATGTATAGAATGCCAATGTATGGCTAATGTTGGCCAATCAGAATTATTAGTATCACGCCATCAGGTTATCCACCGAAATCTACTTGCCTGACCCCAACTGAGTGTGAGTGGGAGGGAGACCTAAAGTTGTATCCTATTTTAATTGAAAAGAGACTCGTTATCGGTTTTTATTGTACATGTATGCGCCATATTAATTGGAACTTACTGAAAAATCAACAATGTTTAATGACTTAACTATAACTTAAATGACGAAAATTATTGTTCAAGACTTTATTTATGCTTTATTCATAAAAGAAAGACGCTGATGTAATCTTAATAACATCATAGGGCTATTAATATCTGATCAGCAAATTTAAAAATCTATTTGTATGAAAACAAAATGTTACAAGTTATTATAAGCCATAAAACAATATTCATAGTTAAGTTTATATTAAATACTAACGATAATGATGATTTTAGTACAAGTGTGAGAAGTGTGACAAAGGTTTTCAAGTGAAAACATGGTATGAACAACACCAGAATGTACATACAGGATCTAAGCCGTTTGTTTGTGATATTTGTGGAGCAACATTTCACATGGACAGGTAGGTTTAAAAAATATATAGAGACTAACAGATTCTTCTGAATTTGGGTAAGAATTGACTTGCGAATTTGAAATTCTTATATTTCTCAGTACTTACCTGTATTAATATTAATTATTTTAATTTCTCATACTTTGTATTTTTTGAAAGATTATGTTTATTAAATGATATATAATATTAATGTATGTACCTACTTTTAAGTTTATGAGTTATGAAGGTTCCTAGGTTAGAATATAAAAATAAAAATAAAATACATCTATGTATTGCACTAATAGTTAAGACTACCTTCTTTACTTGAAAAAAAATAGTTTATACAGTGATTAAAAATCCAATTGTATGTTATGCTGCGACCGCACGTTTGGCACTTGCCGCAAACTCCAAACCTTTGCAAACGTTTGGCTTGATTTAGGGAATCAAACATCGTCATCCACACGCTTGCGAGTGATTTAGTGTGTTCTGAAGAGCCAAGCATAACGGACGTGATGGATATTAAGGTTATATCGGCCATAACATTTGGTTTAATTTATTTTTGCATGGTCCTGCCTGGTAAAGTTCCTGAAAACTTAAAATATCTTCACTCATGTTTTTACACAATACAAGCGTACATCTACTCACTACCAGCACAAAAACGAGACTGAATACGCACAAACGTGTGGACGCGTCGCAAGCGCTGGCGCAAACTTCCTTTGATTTGTGACAAAAAACCGACATTCGATCGGATCGACTACAAACGCTTACAAGTCAACACAAACCAAGGCAAACACTCTATCCACACGTTTGAGTTTGTTGCAGCTTGTTGAGGTTTGGCAAGCGTGCGGACGCGGCATTACGTTTTTCTTGGTGTTAAAATTGTGTATGTGTTGTAATTCTCAGTAAGTGAATTTTTGTAATTCTTTTGAGAATAAAGATTTCTATAACTGTAATATGACCTTAATTACTAACATGTTAAGATTTAAAATATTGTCTATTGGTTATATTTATGTTTAGTGTAATTGTTTGTTATTATTTTATTTTAAGGTATCTTGCAGCACATCGTAGTTCTGTGCACCCACAGTCATCAAATGTGAAAAGATATGTGTGTGTGCATTGCTCTCACCCATGCGACTCGCGGAAGGCACTTACGAGACATTTAAAGGTGAAAAGTGTATAATAATATTAAATGTGATAGTAATTCGGTCTGTCTGTTACGCTTTCGCAACTTACACGTGTCGAGCAAGCTGCATGAGTAATAAACAGATGATGCCTTAACCGTTTATATTGCGCCTTAACGCAACAGTCGAAGATGCACCTTATCACAACAGTCTGCGCAACACAAAATATGCGCTGCAAATGGCTACTTGACTGTATTGGGAAAAGTATTTTAAAACTCATATGATGATATTAAAAACTGTCAGATTTGTTATTCTCCAAAAGGTGATATATATTTTTCAATCAAACAGATATTTTTACCTATTTATTTAATTTGGTAGTGATGTGACTTTTTAAACCATGATGTCGCGTTTCAATAAACATGAGTACTAGTTGCGCTTACAACAATGACGTTGATGTTTAGTTTATTGAAATGTGACGTCACACGATGCTCCTTCATTTTATGTAGGTATGGTACAACAATATTTAGCAGTCCTAAATTCTACCCCTCGTGGTCTGCCTGTTGACGACTGTTGGTCTCATAGTACTTGAGAAATCATAGTTTCACAATTAATTAAATTTCCAACCGATCGAGTTACGCGCAGCGATGAGGCTGTACCTCGTAATCCGATCTTCCCTTCTTATTTTAATGGGAAATAAGAAAGGAAGTTAATAGTTATTTTTTTAGGAACACGGCATAAACTCTTATATCTTATGCGATTTATGTGGGAAGACTTTGGTAAACAATGAACAGTTGAAGTTACATAAAAGAATGCACCTAGGGGACAAGCCTTTTACGTGCAGGTAAGCTGCAGAAATGTCTAAATGTAATCTATCTGTTTAGATTTGATTCATCCATCCATATGTAAGTTTCGTCCGTTTATTGTATTGGGTCCACTTTACCGTTATGTTTTGTGTTTTATTAATTAGTATATAGGTTGATATTTAACTTATTGGTAAGTTTAATATCTGACTCTATTTATATGAAGGGTCGGTAAAAGTGAATAAACATGTTCACAGTTATGAGTTTACTTTCAAACTATTTGATGTTGAAGTGCCACTTACAAAATACAAAATATCATAGATTACGTTGCCACAGAGTGGTCGACCAAGATTATAAAACAAATATAAATATTATAAAACTAGCAGTGGTGACTTATTAATAATATATTAATAATAGACACTATTGCTGTCACAATAGCTACAAACGATCTTCTAACATGTAATTATAAGATCATTAGTATATTTAATAACGCCACTAGTGATGATGATAATTAATTAATTGGGTGGTGAAACGTGTTTTGACTTTCCCATCTTCTAATAATCTAATAACACAGATAGTACAATTCTGAAAAAAATATAATAGGTGAAACTAAGCTAAAGCCAGCTAAAGTTTTGTCATTACTCTAGTAACAATTAGTGTTACTAAAAACGGGTCAATCTGATACCTAAAGATCTTGACCCAATTATTCAGCTAAAGTGATCCAAAATTTTACTCATTATTTGTACTAAATATCTATATTTTCATGCTGTATCTCTGACTGGGTAGGCAAAGAGGACCGATCTCCACAATAATATTTGATATAATACTTGTTTTATTTTAGCACTTGCAACAAGTCATTCACAAAGAAGTTTAATCTGCAGTTGCATGAGCGATCACACACCGGACTGAAATCATACACTTGCATCCAATGTGGGAAACATTATAGCCAACAGAGTACACTTAGAAGGCATATGCAAAGGTATATAAATTATTTTTCTAGAGTTTGTTATTAAAACACAGGTTTATTATTCTTTCTGGTATTCGAATATCTATTAAAGCCAAAGGAGGCGGACGAAATAAACATTCTTTACATGTTATTATGAATGTGATATTGGAATTCTGATGATTTTACGCTTTCAGATGGTTTATATGTCTGTATGCAGTTCGTATCTTTAACGTGGAGAGGAGTTATAAGGATGACGACAGGGCAAAAAAAGAAATTCTATTTAATCCGTTAGTCAGGTAATAGGAAAATATTAGATACGTATTTTTTTTACTTTAAATTAACAAGAAATAGCTTATATCACAGGCGTTTAAGTTGAGGAGTGTGGGCTCTCTACGTCTCAGTTTTGTAGAAAATTTACAAAAGCGTGACACCATGTGATATTTTAACTCAATGTATCACCGTAATTTAATGATTACGAAAAAAATACTTGTTTAATATTTTTCAATAATCTACCTGACGGACAAACAAAAAGTTTTGTCGTCATCCCTATTACTTGAGAATATGTCATACATAACTTAACCAAATATTTTCACCAAATAAACACAATTTGAATGAAGTTAAAAAACCGTTAATAGTTACAATAGTATAATGATTAATTTATAACAGTTCTTGCATCAATCAAGTTCTCTTTTATTGTTTAAAGTGTACCTCTATTCCGTTCCGTTAGATAGATGTGCCATTACCAAAACATACCAACAATCTCGTTCATTCGTTCGTTCATTCGTAGATAGCCAACATAGTAAATAAAAACTTTTTTTTTAAGTTAGATTTATTTTACTCGATGACGTATTATACTCGGTCAAATTATACTGTTAGTTACCATTATGAAATGTTTTAGCATTGTATATTAATTTATAATAATATTATTTATTTTCAGGCACCATTCGACAGAGCAGCTAAAGTGTCACAAATGTATAAAAACCTTCTCATCTCATCATCAATATATTTCGCACAAACGATTCTGTATTTGACTAACAATACTCATTAAAATATTTTTAAGATTCTTTGTATATTATGTCTCTTATAAACCCTGTATAATGTTTAGTTTATTTACCCTCTAAGATTCTTTAGCGATAACAGGCGTATTCGCTAAAGTCGCTAACTTTACTGATAATCTAAAATCTGGTGGAACGGAAGCGCCTCCGCCAAGTCGAACAAAAATGTAAAAGGGCACGGCCGTGCCAATCTTTTCTCGAAGACGTTCGGGTCATTTTTATATAAAACATCAATAATATTTAAAATTGCTACGCTTTTTCTGTATCAAAATTCGGAGTGGTAATATTATCTTAAATCGAGATGTATGTTCGGACTACTTTCCTTTGCTTTGAAAAACTAAGTTAATATAGGGATGCGAATCAATTGGTCAACTCTTTTTATGACATGCATATAATCTTATCATCTGTATTTCGAAATTAGTTATTTTTATTATATTTAATCAATTTTGCATCCAAAGCTATACTGGAAAATATTCTTAATGAAAAATACTTAAAATTTCCATCTCAGAGTACCAGGGACGAAGTCGGTTTTTAAGCATTTTTCATTAAGAATTTTTTATTTTTCCTAAAATTTATAAATGATATTATTTTCCGCTCCAAGAACCAATTACCTCTTGTTTTTCCATAGGGAAGATAAGGTATTAATAGTACCTATGTACGTAAGATTACAAAAACTAGTAAAGATGAAATTACAGGTACTTTGAAATAGTGCACGCGTAGCTGTAGTGTGAGGAAGTTAACAAAAATGTAGTAAATAAAAAAGCTTTAAGCTACTATTTTCAATACTTTTCATATTTTGTTTTCAAAGTAAAGGTAATAGATGTGGTAGGATGAAAAAATCGGTGATGTAAAAATTATTATAAATTCTTATCGATTGCTGAAATCTCTTTCCTTTAATCGATCTTTTTAATATCTCTACGCTAGGGATGTCACTTAGCTGTGGAAAATCAAAGTTTATATTAATCAATTATTAATTACCAAAATAATCGACCTTCCAAAAAAAAAATTAAGTTTTTTTATATAATTTAATAAAACAATTCAATAATTCAAATCTCCCACAATTATCTTTATTAGATCTGCAAAAACATGTGTTTAGTAGGCTAGATGGCATTGTAAGTAATTTTATTACAGAGCTGCTGTTATAATATTGAAAGTACGATGTGAAATTACGAAGTAAATAATCTATTTAGTAATTTAAAACTGCGACTATTAATAAATCGAGTAATGGTTATCGATTATTCATAACAAAAATTTTGATCGATTAATTTTTGACATCCTTACCCTACGCTAATGTTGCAAAACATTTTTCCTTTAAGCTATGTACGATGAAATTAATGATTATATGATTTAATTAATTCAAATTGATATAATAATGGAAGAACAAAATATTCCAAATATTCACCAATGTTGTTTTGGGTGTTTGAGTGGGAAAGAAGAGAGCTTACTGTACAATTATAAAGTGCAAAGTATTACTTTAAAAACATTGTTTCAGGTACTTAAAATTGTTTATTTATTTATGTTTTTAACCGATCAGAATAAAATTATTACCAACTTATTAGTCACTTTACTAACTAAACTAAAGAAACTACTACTCTGACGTTTTTATCAAAACCGGACTCTGACCAAATAAAAAGTCAAAACAAAGATAATAAAGTAAAAATTGAAACACGAGATGTACTTAAACGAAATTAGTATGTAAGAGTTGTAAAAAGAGAAGAAATATTTTTAGTATGGTGTTTTCCTTTGCCAGTAGTTTTACTGGCAAAGGAAAATAATATATAAATTATTTACTAGCTGAGCTATCTTTATTAAAACATATATTTTGATTTCTGCATAAAGAGATAATATAGTATTCCCTTACTATAATGCTTTCCAGCCCGCTATGGATTTCAATTCAGTTCTCATGTAATAGGATAGTTGATTAAGATATGCTTTTGTTTAAAAAAGATTTACTGGGTTACCATTCAACTATAATTTTTCGAACATGTGCTTTACTTTCAGATTGAAACACTATTATTGTGTTATTTATGTAAAAGAATGGCTCAACATACAGAACTCTTTATCCAAAATGTACAGAGCAATCAAATATTGTTGGCAAATTTTTATAACGTAAGTTGAATTTACTGGACAGTTTTATTTAATTAGTCTCTAAAAATATTGTTTAGGATTTCATGTAAAGCAAAGAAAATTCTTGTAAGTTCATTTTAATTACATTTTGTTTAAAATAAAGCCTTAATTACTTATTAGTAGTTTGCAATTTACAATTTACACAGATATTCACACATCATTCACCAGTGTGTCCTGTTGACACATAGGCCTCCTCTTAACTTCTTCCATTCTTCTTTATTTTTGATTGATCTTGTCTATAGTGTTCCCAATGTTCTACTGTAAGTCATCAGCCTATCTCTTGAGCTGTCTGCCTCTTTTCCTTTTTGTGTTATAACACACTATCCATTCGGTCAGGGTTTTTGCCCATCTCACAGCCAGCAGGCTGTCTTACAATTTGGCCAGATCATCTCACCTTTATTAACTTGCATTTCATATAACATCCTTGAATTTGGTGATCTTGTGTAGATCAGATGTATGCATCTTATATCTTATTTTGCATCCAGAAAGGTATGGAAAGGAGCACCTTTCATTTAGCATTGATATTAAACAAAGTTTTTATGAAATTTTAACATAACTTATTTATTTCAGTCAAGGGACTCCACATTCCAAACAATAAGAGATCAAATCCAACCCTTAGTGAATTTGAAGCACTTTCCTCTAGATATAATACATTTGAGTGGCAATATGTCTGAAGAGTTTAATGAATCATACTCAGTATTATTTAATAGAACTGCGAATAAAGATGTTACAATAAAACTTGAAATGAAAGAAGAGGATGCTGATATTCCAGATCATTTGGAAGGCAAATTTGTTGATGACGAGGGTAAGAACGACATCTTCATTCATTTGGATTTATTTTGATAACAAGCAAGGCATTGTACCATAGCTTCTGGTGTTCTGTACTTAAATTAGTCATATAAAGGTGTAGTTTTAGTCTTTTCTTTTTTTAAGTATATAAAGGTTAAGCTTTCATTATTATATGGCAGAACAATTTAGAATATATGCTTCAATACATAAGATATTATTGGGGAACTTAATCACTCATAGAAATATACTTTTACCAATTTGCAGAGTACACTAATATTTTTATACATAAAGTATATAAAGTCTTAATTGTTATTTATAATTATGTGTTCTTGATGCTAATAAAACTGGTATTTTTTTGTGCTTGATAGAATTTCAAGAAAACATTGTTAAGGACGAAGAGTTTACCCTTAAATTACTGTTGAAAGAAGAGGTGGAATCAGATGATGTTGATTTGAAGTGTCTTAAACAGTCGTTGAAAAAGAAGAAAGTGAAGAAAAAATTCAAAACACCATCCAAAGAAGGTGGCAAAAAAGATATGAAAAAAACTGGTGAGACGTAACTTTGTTATTATTATAGTATTGGATTTTTTTAACAACATTCACTATATATGATGTTGTTTTTTATTAGTTTTGTTCACCAAAATATATAAAGACTTTCAAAAGAATGAATGTTATATCAACTCCAGATTTGTATCAAATATGAATTCAATAAAAACATTTGTTATAGTGTGCTCACAAGAGCGTCGCTTACAAGAATTTAGAATATTATTCATAATCTAAGGTACAATTTTTTTTATTTTCTCTGAATTAACTGCTTGAAAAGTGAGCATATGTAGTATGTTATATGATGAGAAAATGATCATTAACTATTTAAAATAATTTGCTTACACTCTTGAGGGAGGTTAAGCCTGTAATCATTGTGGAAGTTTTAGAAGAAATAAACAAAATATTCATACTCAAATTTTCAAAGTAAAAACCTAATAAATTGCAAATAGAATACCGTAGTAGGCACTTCAATTGACGTACATGTTGCGGCAAAACTTTATAAGCGCGATGCGGGTTGTTCAGCGCCATCTTGCAATGGTGTTAAGTATTCGTCTTAACGTTAATTATTGTAGTGATGTTTCAGCGTTGAGATAGATATCGCTGCTTTAGAAGTCATCCATAATATAGACATTTTTGGTTTCAGATAACCCTAAAATAAAACACGTATTCATAACATTGGAGCAGTGTATGGAAGAACGAAAGAAAATGCTACAGGATAAGAGATTCCTAAATTGTTTGTATAAATGCGAGAAATGTATTAAAGGCTTTAATTTTAAGGGAAGCTATGAGAAACATATGGAGAAACATAGTGAGGTACGCTTTTTCGTTTACTAGCTGTCTTCCCGCGACTTCGCCCGCGTACATTATAGCCTATGTCAACCATGTAAAACGTAGCTTCCTGTAGTTGAAAGAATTTTAATATTAGTCCTGTAGGTTTGGTGACAGCAGTGCAAACAAACAAACAATTCTACCCCTAAGAGTGTGAAAAAACGGGGCAAAGTTTCTATGAAACAAAGTGATTCCTTTGTCCAATCTACTTTAAATTTTCCATAAACATTCTTTAATAGAATTGATGGAAAACATGTTTCATATTTTATTGAAACTCTTGGCTTAACTTAAAGGGGTAGAAAATTATTATGGTGGCGATTTACATCTTGAGGAGCTCGTGGTTAGCACGTTCGGTCTGCGATTCGGTTCTTAAGCAAAGGCCGTTCGGAGAATGGGCTATCAAAAAAACATTACGCGAGTTCCTCCGCTTTAGGCGCGTTAACGGCTAAAGCACGGAGGAACTAGCGTAATGTCTTGGCTGTCGTTAACACCCACCAATCGGCACTAAGCCTGCGTCTTGAGGCATATCCCACTTTCCCAATTCGATTGGATTCCATCCATAGGGAAAGCCTATTCCAGCTGTGGGGATATTAACAGGCTGATGAAGTTGATATCAATACTCCTTAGTGCTTTTACGCGGGTAATACCGCTGGTGGAGAGCTAGCGTAGTATATACAATATGTTTACTTTTTTCAAAGAAACCTTATTACGCCTTTCTTTTTTTGAATAGAAAATGGGTGATTATGAATGTGATATTTGTATGCAACGTATGCATTCAGAGGAGAAATTGCAAAGCCACAAGAGATACCATCAGATGTGAGTTGGTTTTTCTTTCTATTATTAAGGGCTTAGAAAATTGTTATAAACACTAGCATATGTAGTACATACAAAAATTTTCGAACATTTTGTCTTTTATAATAATCATATACATAGCCTTTTAATCAGTGTTTTATAAATAAAGGAGGAACCTTACATCCAAATATGCGGCAATAATGAACACGTGTTTTCAGTCGTTATAAATGCCCTGAATGCGGTCTCACCAGAGTCTGCAGGATGAGTATAAAAGATCACTACACTTCCACACACTGCGTCGGATACTACCAGTACAATTGTCCACATTGTCCTAAGGTTTTCACGTACGTATTCTGTTTATATGGTCAATGCTATACATCTACATATATCATAAGCTAGCTTACTCAACGGAAAGTCGGTCGAGTACTAACGCATATTTCCGTGACACGCTTGATGGTTTTTTCTTTAGATTTGCATTTTACCTCTTGACACATCTTTCATGACCAAAGAGTAATACATTTACTATATCACTTTACGCAAGCAAACACCTGACGCAAGGCGCCGCATAATACATGTCCTAACTTCAAGCGTTGCATAAAGTCGTTAGGTAGTTCCTAGCATTTTCACCTTAGACAATGTTTAAAATTTTGGCGTCAGATTTAGGTGACTCCTAAGTTTAGTGAAGACGAGGGTTTATCCTTGTAACTGTAAGTTATAGACAGTTTTATTGTTTCTTTTTAGAGTGTCGTTCCAAATAGGTAAGAACGGGACCTTAATACTAAGACTCCGCTGTCCGTCCGTCCGTCACTAGGTTTTATCTCATTAACTGCGATTGCTAGATAGTTGAAATGTTCACAAATGTTGTATTTCTGTAGTCATTATAACAACAAATCCTAAAAACAGAATAAAATAACCGTTTTGTGTACATATCGAAATGACGTCATGAATATCGGACAGCATTATAGCGGGTATAAAAAAATAGATATAATTTTAACTTAATGTTAAGGCCAGAACACGTGTTTGTCTTTCTAAAATATTTTTGTGTCTTATTCAAATAAGAATAAACATATGTATTTTTTAAACAGCGTAATATATGGTTTATTGAGACCTAAATCGACTAGACAATTACAAATAAAGACATTTCTCATAGACAATACACCTTTTTTTTTCAGGCGGCAAGTATATTTAAGAAAACACATATGCTATGCGCACACGCATAAAGAACGGGTGACGTGCGCGATATGTCACAAGACATATGCGAATAAAGACTGTTTGAAGACTCACATGATTGCGTAAGTATAATTGCGTCATAGGGTAGTTTCGCTAGTGAAAAATAATTCACGAATTACTAATAAAACTAAAACTTACATTGTAATAAAATCACGTGATTATTTTATTCAGTATAATTAATATAAACAAGGTTCAGCGTTAGAGTAAATTTACGCTGAGACTGCACTTAGTATTAGTGAAATTCATTATATTAAACAGAGACTTAGCAAAGAATTAACCTAATACGAAGTTCTACGGGAGTAATATTTACTCCTAGAAGGTAGTAGGTTAGTAATAAGTCACTTATTCTCTGTATAATATGATTTTGGACTAATACTAAAATTGCAACTTTAGCGAAAATTTACTCGGCCGCTAAACCTTGTTTATTAAAAGCACTGTTAGAGTTTAAATTTCTCTTCTCAATTTGAAGTGAGGTCGTAAGATGCCACTGTTCTTGCTTGATTAATATCTTTGAAATAATATACTCTGTTCTATAGAATAATGCTAAAACATGCCCAAATTGAAACTTTTGGTTTTTGTATAGGAGAATACGGAAGATGGATTTTTTTTGTTTGTCTATTCATTGGGTAACACGTATTTTTTTGCCTTTGTGTATTTTATACATAGTTGTGACTTAGAGAGCCACACTCATCAACTTTAATAATATATCAATTGAACAAAAAAAAAATTGTATCTAATACTTTATGTGACTGACGGAATATAAATTTTTTTTATTCAAACTTCTTTCCTATGGGCCTCTGACCGAAAAAAGGTGCCATAAGTCTGACCTGCCAGTCCGTGGCACTCTAGCATCTAATTTTAAAATTTATCAGAAACAATTTGAAACGTATAGCAGTTGTTGATAGTGACTTAACGAATTATGTGACTTTTAAAGTCACATAATCGTCATAGACAATTCATTTCGATTGGCATTTAGCAATCAAAAATTTTTTTTTTGTGTGACCTTATTCCAGATATTCTGCCAACATCAGAGATATTTGTAACTATCACTTTGCTTAGACAATTCCGATTATCGTCAAATAAACGTAATTGTTCATTGAATATCTTAAAAAAGGTCGCGATCGTAATGAGGAAGTATTAAAAAAAAGAAAGCACTAAAAAAGCACCTCCACTAGATGGCGACCCTAGCAAAAGTTGATTTTTGCAAGAAACGAATGGACCAAAGACAGTCATTTCCGTTCTTTTTAACTAACATATTAAAAAACTGAAATTGAGAAGTTCGAAACTTAGATATATATACAAATACGAAAAAGTACAAATAGAATATGAGTTGTTTATTGAGTTTTAAAAAATAATTTACTTTTAAATTTGAAAGAAAACCGGAAAGGTTGTCATGGAGAAATCAAGAACGTACCGTAGCGACACCTAGTTTGATTTCGGGAACTAATGTTTTTTTTTTTAAGTACTTTTTTAAATAATTTTTAAAGCAATAAGGCTTTCACATGTCAAATATTTGCAGAGCGAAGTTCGTGAATATTTTTCAAATAAAAATTCAAAGTGAATGGATTTTGAAATTAGACAGCGAGGGCCCTGATTTGAGTGCGGTTTTGTTTTAATCGAAAGCCCTAACGGTTATTTTTTTGTTTAGACGCCATTCTAAAGATGAAGCGGCGAGTGGTATGAGCAAACGTTACGTGTGCGCCGAGTGTGGTGCGGGGTTCAAGGCTCCGTCGCAGCTGCGGAATCACAGCGTCAAACATTCCAGGACGAGGAACTTTTACTGCGTCGAATGTGACAAGTCAGTGTTCATATTGAGAGTTTGTTTATGAATGAGTTATGACACGTGAGAGTAACTTGGCTTCCAAGATCCTTGTTGTTCAGCAACTCTGGCAATTGTCGGTCATGGGATGGGTCACTGAAAAATTATTATCTCGAGCTATTCTGTGCTTCGGAAGGCACGTTAATCCGTCAGTCCCGGCTGAATTTGCAGTCGTTAATCATCTAATCCCCATTGGCCCAGCGTAGAGGGTCATGACCCATCCTCCTTAATCATAAGCAAGGCCTGAGCCCCTGCATGTATATATAGACTCGAACATAAATTCGGAAAATTTCTTATAGTTCATATAATTTTGTTAAAATCGTGTCGGTGAAGATTATTTGCGCATCAGAGGCAGTATCAGGCCTTACCAACGTTGCATTAAAAAAAATGCGCTTCTTCGGTGTCGGTTTAGCATTTCGATAATAAACAAATTCGTATCCGGAAAAAAAATTGGACTCTTAGGGGTCATACTAAATAGTGTATTATTATGACAATATTTTTAATATGTCATTAAATAATGTGTTTCTTTCTTTCTTTAATAAAATTTATAGTGAATTGTTTCAGGAGTTTCAAATCGGATGCTGTGTTAAAACAACACCTTAAGACGGCTTTACCTCACATCAATTACTTAGAATTACCGTAAGATATTTAATTAATATTAATAAAACCTAATATCTAATCTAATTTTCATAAGAGACCTAATTATCTAATTTATATAGCGGTTATGATATTGATTTATTGAATTATGTAACGTTCAAAATCATAGCAGTTTTGAACCTTAGGAACGAATGATATTTGAATGATCAAGAACCATAATAAAAACTTATTAACTAAAGTAATATTTGCGTATAACAAACACTTGCCTTACACAATTCCAATTAGCGTCCAATGGACGTTATCGTTCATTTGATATCTTTTGAAATACGTCGCTATTGCAATCGTTATCTTATGTAGAGTAGTCGCGGCGTGAAGTTCATGAATATCTTTCAAATGTCAAATTGAAGGTAATTGCGATAGATCTAAAAATTAGATAATTAGCATCAGTTCATTTAATAAAGTTCATGTTAGTTGATATTGTGGCCAGTTTCGACACTATCTTTTATCTGAAAACCATAGAATTTCAGTAATTTCTGAATCTGCATTCTTTATGACGTTAAATCTAGTTTTAAATCTATTTTAAGATTACCCTCAAAACTATCATATGACAAATCTGTATCCTGGGCGTTACTGGATAAATCTCCATACTAATTTGGGCATTGTCATTTGGTATATTTTAGTACTCTTTCACAGCCGAACACGTACTTAGTACGTGATTTTGACGCGTAGATAAACACACTGAGTACGTGATCGGTTATCAAAGTACCATTCTGATGTATGTACCATTTTGATGTGTGTGTATTCAGTGAAATCCGTATCATGATATACTTTATGTAGGATTTTGTTTACATAGATTTGTGTTTTCAGGTTGGCCTGTTTGCACTGTGACAAACGTTTCGCCATCAGAAGGGATTTGGAACGTCACACCAACAGAGTACATTTGAACATCAGACCTTACCAATGTGACAGCTGTGATAAGGTGAGCTTATTATTTTTTAACAAATCATTCTCCGCAACTTTGACTACTCATAAAGTGTTTTTTTAATGTGATTATTAAAAATAATGAGAAAGTGTTAAAAAAAGAATCTATTACTCTTATAGCGATAATATTTTAGACACATCTAATGTCAAAAGATGCCATCAAAATGCACCATAGAGTTTGTTCCTTTGCATATAACAAAAAAAAAACAAAGAGATAAGAATAGACTATTACTTATTTATTAATTTATAACGTTCGAAAGAAAATCGGAAAGCATCTCATAGATAATTTGCTAGAACACTAGAAAATATTGCAAAATAGAGTCAACAGCACGCCAGGTTATACAAATCTGTCAAATATCTACATTTGATTTTAAACTTTAATGCTTTGAGAGTTGAGTTGAGTTTAAAATCAACTAAAGAAATTTGACCTAATGCGGTTACCTCACGTGCAGCCGTGTGTTGGTAGCGACATCTAGTTTAAAACTCGAGAACTACCTTTGTGTTAATAATTCCTCATTACATCAATGCTCGCCTTTTACAATACAATGCCTCAATAAAAATTCTTAAGTTTATATTGGAGTCAACCATTTAAAAGTAAAAATACGATCTCTTTCTTTATCAGGCTTATGTAAATGGTTGGTCATTGAGGGAACACAAGAAATTAGTCCACGAAGGATACAAGAGACCCCTCAAATACCCTTGTACGATGTGTGATAAAGTATTCGATGTGAGTATTACAGCTAATTTATAATAACAAATTATGAAATGTATATGTAATATTAACTTATATGTCGGATTTATAATCTGTGGATTACAAGAATAGATCGCTGACGGTCATAACGGAGCATCACGTCTATCGAAATGTGAGGTCGTGGCTCGTAATGTCACGTGACTGATTGTTTTCGTGGAACAATTTAAATTAATGAATACAAATATGTTTTTCCTTTATTTAATACCACTTTTTATAGAGAAATAAATTTGATTTTTGTTTAATATGATCATATGCAAGTTTTAAAATAGTTTTCCCAAAACAGTCAAGTTTCAAGTAGCCAATTTGGTTATTTGAATGTTGATGAGTTTGGAGGACTCCCTGTAGAATAGGTTTATGTCCCATACAGACAGGTTTATGTTTTATTTAATACGTTCAGACAAAGTTGAACGGGGCTGCTATTATCGCTCGCTCAGCGTACTAGTCTTTTTTTAATATGTTCGAACGCACGCATAAGTTTTGAGTTTACATTGATCGATTTTATTAAAATAAGATAATAAAATCTTAATTTTTAGTGCTTAAAAATTATAAAATCTTAATTCTTTATGAAGAAGCCATTTTGTGGCATAATATTTTGTTCAATAATAATATCGCATATAGGTAAAATTCACAGTTAACTTCGAGCAATATTTGAAGTTTTTTGGTTTATAATGTTCTTTTTTTTTGTATATTTGTATACGTCTATTTAAGAGATATCATTCTAGTTTTTTTTTATTTCATTTGTTTAGAACAGTAGCTCATTGCAGGCAAAAAAATGTCATCGCACATTTTAAGAAAGTCTTTCTTTGCTATTTTGGGTTATCTATTTTACGCAAAAATCACCGTTTAAACTAGTGTCATACTGACTTATTGTCTATTTCAGGCCTATTTTTAGAAGAAAATAGGCCTAAATAACTAAAAGCGATATAAGATCACGTGTTTAGGCCCGGATCTAGGAGGGGCAAGTGGGGGCAGGTGCATGCACCAGTCTCAGGGGACTCCAAAATCATGATAATATAATACATATAAAAAATAAATTCATAGAGATGTCCCAAAATCAAATCAATGTACATAAGCACTTAAGGGGGAGGGGACAGAGGTAAAAATGCCCCGATTGGAAAAAGTTGTTAATAATACCTATAAAAAATGAAATTATAAAGATGTCCTTAAATTAAATTAATGTTCATAAGCACTAAGAGGGGGAGGGGGGAGAGGTAAAAATGCCCCGGTTGGAAAAAGTTGTAAATCCGGACCTGCATATGTTGCTCAGAAGATAACTGAAGCTTCACAGCGTGAGCTTGTAACACAGCTTTCATTTGTGTGCAAATGAAAGCTGTGTTACAAGCTCACGCTAGCATGAAGCAAAAATGACTTGAACTGTCGATAAGAACTTGATGTACTATTTTTTTTTATTTCCAGAGAAACCAGATATTGAAGAGTCACATCCGCACCCATACCGGTGAGAGACCTTATCAGTGCACCAAATGTCCAGCACAGTTCAGCCAAGCCAGTGTATTAGGCACTCATGTAAAATTGATACACTTAAAACTTGCTAGAAACGGTAGACCGAAAGCGAGCGCTCTAAAAGCAGAATAGACAAAGAATATTAAAATTCAGTCCACCATATATTTAGCACGGTTCAGCCAAGCTAGTGTATTAGACACTCATGTTAAATTGACGCACTCGAAACTAGTTAGAAACGGCAAACTGAAAGCCTTAAAGATGGAATAATGGGAATTTATCCAATGTGAGTAGCACTCAGCATGCAGCAAATGTTCTGCAACGTTCAGCCTAGCCTGAGTAAAATTGATGGACTTCAAAATTGGTAGACACGACAGACCGAAAATAAGCGCTATGAGGTCTTAATAATAAGAACGTATATCCAATTTTAGTGCCAGTGCACCAAATGACATCCCAGCACAGTTTACCCAATCCAGTGAATTAGGCGCCCATTACAAATTGATACATTTAAAACTTACGAGAGGTATGAGAGTATGAATGCTAGTACATCAAAAGTACTTAAATAGTTCTCGATAAACACTTGAAATTGAAATACATATTTCAAAGTTACCAGAAATTACAGTCCACACACCAGACCACAAGATTTCATACTTTATGTATGAAATCTATAATCTAAATACAAGATTTCATACTTTATGTATGAAATCTTGTATCATACTTTATGTATGAAATCTTGAGGTCTGGTCATACTTTATGTATGAAATCTTGTGGTCTGGTCTAGTTCAACTGGTTTATATGATTAATTTGTTAAAGTTAATTTATTTTTCTTGAATATACGAGATTTTGTAAAAGACGTTCGTTGCTATTTTTTGTATAAAATGTTTGATTATTCGATTGTAATTTATTGTATAGTCAAGTGTTTGAATTATAAAGACGATTTATTAAAAATATATATTTCATTTTAGGTAGCCCCCCCTACCCCACCCCGACACGACACACATATAGTGACACGTATTCATCTTGTTATCGTGTAGAGAATTTTGAAATTTAGATAATTCATTATCAGCCCTTTTACGGCCCTACTACAGCGGCTAGGGCCTTCCCTATGAATGGTTAAAGAGGATGGGCCATAACCTTTACGGATTGGAGGGTATTAACGACTGCAATTGCAGCTGGAACCAACGGCTTAACATTCCTTTCTAAGCCTGGAGTTTTGATCACCCGTCCCGTGACCGACACTTGCTAAACTTGCTTAGCAACAATGATTTCAGACTGCGGCGCTTATCCAATTCATCACCGAGCTACTAGCCGAATATACATTAGAGCTTAAAGTCGTTAGCATACCTTAATGGACGTTTGTGCGGCGGAGCGGCTGCCTTTAAGCAGAAACGTCCCTCGGTTAGAAAGACAAAGAAGATAGCGGCACTAAAATTGTCTCTGCGGATGCATGTTCAGAAAAGGACAACAGTAAACGATCTATCTGATATCCGATCATCCTGATATATTCTATTAACGTGCTCACTTATGCACGCATGCGTAAGCAGAAAGACTTAATAGACGACCTCTGTGGCAGAGCCGCTTGAATGCCTATTTCAAGGTGGCGCCATCTGAAGTTGCAGGTTCGATTCCAGTCTCCGACCCGGGTGTTCGTGGTACCTTCGTTATATCAGATATACAAGTGCTATTGCTACTTAATTTGCAATGTATGTTATGTTGTCTAATAAATATTATTAACAAGTTACAGCTTTTACGTGATAGTTAAATTTAAGAGGGGCTGTAAAGCCAAAAGCCACCCTTCGATCTCCAGGCCTGTCCATATAGGCAAACTAGGCAACGGTCTAGGGCGCTCGTATTATTTGAAACTATAAGGTTACCAGTATCAATCCAGTACCTCAAAAAAAAATGAGTTGTTCTTTGACCATGAGTCCATCCGTGGTATTCAAAAGTACATTTTCAGACCAGTAGTATATAAGGAGTTTCTTTTGTCACTCTTTAATCGGTGCACTTAAGTTAGTATTTAGTTGTAATTTTTTATGGGCGTTGTTCCAGTGACTTTCCTAGGGGCAAGTTTCATTGAGCCGATCGTCTATCTGCCATTACGCCTAGCAATGAAATAATTACATAGGTATATTGTATAACTATATAAAATAAATAAAATAGGGATAAAAACTATGAAGATTATTGAAAGTGCTGCATAATTCGCTCGACTACAGTTGAGTCGGAGGAGTTTTTATTACCTTTATTACCTTTTAGGGAACCCTAGAAATGGTGAATTTTCAGGTAACTTTTTATTCTTTAGAGCCAATTTTATAGCTTAACTTTTAGGCTGTGCTTGAATCCTTAAAAAAAAATGTAGTTTTCACATTTCTAATTATTGTAGCTTATTAGAACGTAATTTTTGTAAGAAAACCAAATAAAAGTAAGCGATTTTGGGTGCAAACACGCAGTAAGTAACCTGCAAAACCAAAATTGATCTTCTGCCCTGCGATTTGATTAATTCAAGCGGCATCCGCTTGAATATTTTCGTTTGCAACGTTTCGTGGCATAAGTGAAGTGAGTTTCGAAATGACAGGAATAGAATACCTGAGACACGTATATTCAATCAATTTTGTTATGTGTTTTTATACAAAAATATACGGGTTTGGACTTTACAGAATCGCAGGGCAGAGCAGAATAACTTTTTATTGTTTCGAAAAGAAATTCTTATGAACATTCATGATAACAAATATGGCAACCCTTATTCGATTAATACTCATCCTCATCACCAGCTTATTAATGACCCACCCCTAGAGGTCAGGCCTTCCCTATGTATGGAATCGAAAAGGGAGAATGGCCCATGACTCACGAAACGGGCCCAATGCGGATCAGTGGGTATTAATGACTGCAGATTCAGTCGAGACCAAAGGCTTAAAGTAGGTACCTCTCGAAGCAGGGAGGAGCTCTAGATAAATATTTGGTCATCCACCCTATGACCGGGACTTGCGAAGTTGCTTAACAACCATAATCGCAAACCGAGCGCGTTAACCATTGCGCCATAAAGCACCTCGATCCTCAAAATTCGAGTAATACGGATGTAAGACTTTTATATTGCAAAAAAATTGTTTATTATGCTCTTGACAAATTTTGGATTTGCGGATGTTTGCTTTCCAGTGTCATATAGACATAAAAATAGAACATTGCCCAGCAGTGGGGTATTATAGGACGATGACTAACCCAGTTTCCTTAGGTCCTGAGCTGTAGGGAGAGCCAGACGCTTCCGCTCGCTATAATCGCTTCCTGTTTGTAGGTGTGAACTGTCACTCGTTGAGTCGAACGTCACAAACGGAATCCAGTCTGTAGATGTATCTCGGCATATTTTAGCCGGTATTTTTTAAACTCCGATACAAAAAGAGGAGCGTTGTTGATTCTCGGAAACTTGAACTTCCGGTTTGATACATCCGACATTATTGTTCTTCAAAAATATGGTTTGATTTTAAAATCAATATGTAATTTAACCAAATTCGTTAAGATTTAAATATTTTTGAAGAACAATAATGACCGATGTATCAAACCAAAATTTAAGTTTCCAAGACTCACCCGTTACACTTTGACGTGTCTATCTGTGATACCGTAGCTCCTAAAGTAATGAACCGATTTGAGTGTGTGTTTTTTTTTATTAAAAAGTCTTGTTCATCGCGGTAGTTCTTCGCTATGTTTTATGAAAATCGATTAAGATTAAGTTTAGAAGCTACAGGCACTTTACCAAAACGAAGTGGCTTGCTCTTTCTTATTATTTGTACTTACAGCAGCCTAGCTTGTAAAAGAATAGGCTGATTTGATTAAAGTTATTTTAAAATCATTTTGAGATTTATTTTTAAGTATTAGTATTTAAAAAAGTATGAATAAATACCCTCGATCTTTACTGTAATTTATATATTGTATAATTATTTATCTCTATATTGTAACTGCTCATTTATCTCGGGACGTATCTCGTGTTACCACTCACGTGTGCCCACCGGATCTAGTGACATCCTCATGCTCCCTACGGACGCGGCGCGCTCCCGTGGGAAGACCCCTCGCTTAGGCTTTCTGAATCGCCTATCTTTTGAGTTAGCCTGCTAATGAGAGCTAAGAAAGCTCACGAAATGCGTAAACATTTGATGTGTTATTATAAAACGAGAATTAAATATAATGCATCATTTTAGCATGTTAGCAAATTATAACGAGTGACAGAAGAGTCACTCTGGGACGTGTTGACTTATTAAGGTCGGATATTGGTTTTTACCTAGTACCTACTAAATCGGTCCAGTAGTTTCAGATCGTAATTAATGCAATTAAATATTCAAATCTTTTCTCTTCATAGCATTATTCTAGATCAGAGAGTTAAATTTTTATTGTGCTAGATAAGTTCTGCCAAGTAACGAAAATCCTATATTTATATCATCGAATAAAATATAAGATCGCATATTTTGCATTTTGCCAACGAATGTCGTATTTCAGTAACAAACATTATAATTATACCTAAAAAGACTACTCGTACCCAATTCTTTACCAAGGGCTTCGATTAGTTCTTATATGTTTGTAATACAGTGTTATTAATAAACAAGGTTTAGCGTTGGTGTAAATTTACGCTGAGACTGCACTTAGTATTAGTCAAAATTCATTTACATATTAAATACGCTAAGCAGATACTTAGCAAAGGGTAACCTAGTACGAGGTTCTACGGGAGTAATATTTTTTCTTAGAAGGTCTCCCACCTTCTAAAAGTTTGCAAGATTGTCTGTTTATCAGCGTAAAAATTGTAATATCAGCGTAAATGATTCTGACGGTAAAACTTGTTGTAATTTTAACCTTATGGGACTGGGTGCCTAAAGAAAGTAATTGATGACAATTGTAAAAAGTATTATTTGCTGTAATTGATAACTTTAATTGTGTCTTGGGAAATATGTAGTTCTTCTAGAATCAGTCTGGCTGACCACAGATGGTATTAACTTAGTATTAATTTCGAGTGTCTGTTGGAAATGTTTTATTTTTATTTACGGGGTTTAAATAAGTATAAAACGTGTGGCTGAAGTTACCGCTGACAGTAAAGGTTTGCCAATATCAAATATTGATTTTTGATATTTCCTATAGCTTATTAAAGCAAAGACATTCAAGAAAAATTTCGAGTAATGGCTAACACACGTATCTATAGTCGAGAGAAGTAATTACTTGAGAAAAAGGCATAACATTAAGCAATTAGGTATT